GCGTCTTTGTGTCGAAAGTTATTTCCATTGCTGAATCCATTATATGTTTATCGATTACAGATTCAAAGTAAAATTAGTCTTTTTACAAGATTTCTTACACAATGAAAATAAGAAAAATACACTCTCTAAAAATACACGCAGAGGATGTTTATCACCCGTTGCTTACGTGTGATCTTTGTCTGTGCCGGAGATGCGTTAGCCCGTGGACGACCGAATCATAGATCCAAGTTGAATCGTGAAGAAGGCTTAAGGTTGATATTTCGTTTTAGAAACAAGGACAGAAGTGGATATCTTAATAAGGTAAGTTAAAACACGCTTCTCAATATCAAGTCAGAGCTTAGATCTCAGGAAACGCTGAATGCTCTTGAAAGTGCTTGAAATTGATGAAGACTCTTTCTCTCTTGCTCGAAATTCGCCAAATTACTCAAGTATTTTCTCTCCCTCCCTTAGTCTGCTTGGTCCAATGCATATATGTGATAGGGAGGTATTTATAACCCATAGAAACTGTAACTGAAGGTAAAAAAAAATCGAAACAAAACTAACTTGTCAGCCCCCTATTTCCGAGACACGTTCCGTGTCTCGGAAGAAGGAAGTCCGTCAGCCCGTTTTGTAACCAATTTTTCCACATTTTAATGTCATTATCTTTGCATTTATGGATGTATTTTATGTTTGTAATAGTCGTCCCACATTCACACACGATCCCTAGTAGTTATGAAGCCATGTGGACCACACAAAACCCAAGAAAACTACTAACGAAAGTATAAAATTCCCCCATAGTTTCTAAGACACATTCTGTGTCTCGGAAACTATGAGTTGCCTCATAGCTTCTGAGACACAATCTGTGTCGTGAAAACTACGAGTTACCTCATAGATTCCAAGACAAATTCCTTGTTTTGAAAATTATGTGATGCCTGGTTGTTATTTTATATTTTTGTGCATTCCTTAGTTGGTCTTTAACATCGGATGATCCTCTTTAACTCAGATGATGATGATTATCGCCTTCTCTTCATCTTGAGCTGTGTGTGGTAACTTATAGGAAATTTTTGACGCCTACACCTATCTGAGTGGGCTTAGGGTGCAGTCTGCTTGAGACATGTGTCAGCTAGTTAAATATTGATCAACACGTATTTCTATAGCATAATAGAGGATTATCTACAATATCCTCAAACTTAAGATAGTTTCTCAAATCAAAATAGTTGAGGGGGTTTCTCAGACGCACTCTATAGTTAGATTTTTTAAATTTAAATTAACCCATGATTTTATGTAGATAGGTTGTCTACATGAGCTTTTTCTTTAATTTCAAAAATATATGATTATAAGATTTTAAAAAAATATGGATAACTATAATCTGATAAGAATTACAAAATATTTGATTATTAGAATTTTTTGATTATGGATAGTTTTAATTTGATGAGAAATTCATAGATGAGTATAAGATTAGGTGTGCGCGTGTCATCTTCTAATAAAAAGAGAGGCATGTGAGTTCTTATGACAAAAACACATGTTTGTTTTTTGTGCCTTTATAATATGACACGTATCAATTTTTTTGTGTATTAAAAAGTGTTGGAAACATGATATATAATGAGGCAAAATATGCATATCATGACTATTAATCAAAATTAATTAAAAATTAGAAAAAAACTAAAATACTTTTTGAATTTCTTTAATAATCTATCCTAAGATCAATTTGAAATATCTTCTTCAAGAGAAAAAGACTCCAATTGAAATCCACCCGTCACTGAAAAGGAGCAATACTAAGAGATAAATTCTCAAATTTCTATTTCTTTTATGTTATTTTCTTATTCTCATAAGGTTACATTTAAACCCTATTTATAGAATTAGACTTGCATTATAGATTTTAAGTTTAAACAATTTTTAGTTGTTCAAAACTCTTTTCCATAACAATTAAAGATAGAATATTCTTTAAATAATAATTAAAGATAGAATACTCTTTCCATAATAATTAAGGTTAGAAATAGAATTATATTATATGTATACCTCTTTTAATGGCATTAGTGAGACCAATTGGGTCCTATATCGAAAACCAATTATTAATCAAATTAATAATTTTAATTTAATAATTAAATTCCTACCCGACCAACTATTCATAAAAGCTTTTCCACAATATGTGATTAATTATTCATAAATAATATCTTATATTCAGTCCCCTCCAGTATTATTTATTTTAGGTAACTTATTTAAGTAGAACAATTCACCTATTTGCTCATGTATAAATTGTAATTTCTATAAACATAAATAATTTTTTTTGAAACATAAAAATATTTTATTTTTTAAGAAAACAAAATTTAAAAAATATTTTCAAAACCACCTGCTGGCAAGAATTTAATAGCTTTATGTGAATGCATAATAAATTAACTCATCATAATGAGCAGACTGGTTCCTATCTAGATATCTATCATTTTTCTAAATTAAATTTAGCAACCCAACATTCTAGGTTGCGTAGCACTTGATAAATAAGCTTAACCATCACATCAGAGTATACTAAATTATCAAATTGAAAATAACAATATCATCAAGCCAAAAGGACCATATAACAATTTGAATTCCTCGTCTCTTGGGTGACTCGTCCTAGAGAATTCAAATGCGTTCTACTGCGACACACATCATAGTGTGTATTTATGACATACTATACGCCCGAGAAATCCCCATTCCCTGTGGTTGAGACCCACCACATCTCACATGTCGGTGTCATGCATAATAATTTGTTATAACAAAATTATTCTTTACTAGTTATAGGATAATCACATGTCTAAGAAATCTCTAAGTTAGATCACATCTCAAAGCAAGTGACACATCATAATGCATGATCTAACAAAATAATTTTTAAGGATATATAACAGTTATAGAAAATGATACCCGAATTATATGTGCAACAATTAAATTTATTAATATTGTAAAAATATTACATAATTTATATTAGATGTTCAAGAGCATATTATTACTATTCCAACAAAAAGTTCCACCAATTTTTCTTTATATATAACGGAGGGATTCATTCCATTAGTTTGAAGTTCATGTAGAAGCTTGCTCAACCCTACTATGGATAACATGCTTACTAATTTGACCAAGGTTGACATATGTGGATTGATTTGAACTGAATCAGATCAAACAAGGTCGAATGCATATGAGAGTAAGGGTGCTAAATCATATCCGTATTCGAGAAAGTATCTGAAACCGTATCCGTTAGGATATGGATATGGTTACACAAATCTATAACCGACAGGATATAGTTTTATAGTGAAATATCTGTATCCGTATCCGAATACTGGTAGAGGTCAAACTGCTTTGGGTTTACAACTTGCAGCCTTATATATCTTGCAAATTTTTATAAGATGTTGTTCTCACAACTCGAACCCGTGATCTCCGTATTACATGACAACAATTCTTACCGTTACGCCAGAGGTCTCCTTCTAACTTTATATCTCTCTAAAGAAATAAAATCTTCACTATAAAAGGATATTTTGAGAGGTACTATAATTATAACGATCATATTCTTCACATTGCAAAAAATTTTACAACCACAACTCTCTCTTTTCACATACCTTGAACGTACACTTAACAGATAACTTTCTTTTCATATGCCTTGAGCACTAACAGCATATAACCAAATTGATGGACTATATCTTACTATACGTTTAGTGGACCTTTCAGCAAGTAGAAAAGATACACTTCATAATTAGTTGAAGACTATATATACACTTCATAGTTAGTTGAATACTATGTATAAATGCAGAGAAGACTAGTATGTCATTTAAGCTTGTGAAGATCAATATCGAGTTGTTGTGAAGAAAATTTCGAATCTCAACATCTAAAAGTAAGGTTAGGCTCATGGTATGAGTGTTTTCGAATTTTTCGCAGATAATTTTTGCTCTTTCATACCAAGAACAAATATCTTCCGTGGTTTGTACATCTCAATTTCTCCATCATTTCATCATCAGTCTATACTGATGAACCGTAATATGAGAATTTCAAATTTGTTATATTTTCATTGTCCATAAATGTTTTAAGATAAAACTCTATCACGATGCATGACTAATAATATCTTATTTACGTATATACCTTTAAGAAAAAAACTTTGTATGAGATATAATCCTTGTATTTCCCTCTTAATTTTTTAAATTTATGGTCCAAGCATTCATTCATTTACACGTATGCGGATACACGCGTACGAACGTTTTTGCCTCTTTGCATATATAGTTTATAATTTGGTGACATTTTCAATAACGATAAATTCATAATATCTTATTTTACCAGTATCAGATTTAGTCCACTCATGAATTCGAAAATTCATGTAACTTAATCATCACCTATTTTGTAGACTTCAATTACTTCCGCCGAAATTGTCCAAACTATCCGAATAGTACGATATTGTAAAAATAAAGTCTATTATTATAGATATATATTCTTTTTTACAATCTAGAGAGAGATTTTCCAGTCTTATAATCAATCCTTAGCATAAATTTCTTCTTCTAATTAGTATAAATATGAGTAAATATAATTTTTTTTGAAGTCCTAGAATCTTTACTGCCAAACAACACTTCGAGAAGCAAATAAAATACTTATCCCATCCAACAAATTAAATGCATTAATATTTGAAAATCTATCCTAATATTACCATATAAATAATGTGAGTCGCACGTACATGCATGAAACTACATTATACTAAATATCAATTCAATTTGTTTCCTTAATTAATTTTGGAGGACCCAAAACAAGAATGGACCCAGTTCAACAAATGCTCGACGCAGAGAACCTCAGCGAGGATCAAATGCGAACCGTGATCAAACACCTCCAACAAAAACTGAAGCAATCCAGAGAGCAACAAAAGACCGCCGCCGAGCCCCCGAACCAATCCCAACCTCGACCGACCAAACACTCGCGCAGAAAACGAATGCTTCGAGCCGAAGACAAAATCCTCAAGCTCTTCCTGTACGTAATGGACCGCTTCAAAGCCCAAGGCTTCTTCTACGGCATCGTCAATGACAACGGCTCCGTCGTCACCGCGTCCTCGGACGCCCTCCGCCCTCCGCGGGTGGCTGCAGGAGACCGTCTGCTTCTCACGCGCCGGCCCTGAACAAATAGCCAGATACAACTCAAACTATAACGAAGATAGTACAAATTATAACGACACAGGACCAAAGTCGTTGATGGAGTTGTCGGACGCTACTTTAGGATCTATGATTTCTGCACTGATTCGATACTGTGATCCTCCGCAGAAAATGTTCCCATTGAAGAAAGGGGCTCCGCCGCCGTGGTGGCCCACTGCAGAGGAGGATTGGTGGGCCCCATCTGGGTTCCCGACCGATCAGGGTCCGGTTCCGTATAAGAAGCCCCACGATTTGAAGAAGGCTTGGAAGGCGGGAATTCTCGCTGCCGTGATAAAGCACTTGATGCCCAAGACGTCCAGGATCGCCGCGGTGATCAGGCAGTCGAAGCGGCTGCAGCATAGGATGTCCGCGAAAGAGAATAAGATCTGGATGGGTTTCGTGGCGAAGGAGGAGGAGATGTACGTGAAATCGCTGCAAGATTCGGGTGAGGACGCAAACAAACAACAGTCCGAGGACTATATGGCATCAATGATGAATCTTGAATTCAATAGTTGCGATCAAAGCTCTAGGCTGCAGGGCTTCGGTATGGTTGACAATTTATCTAACTTTAACTACAACTTAGTGGGAGTGGGAGTGAATAACTCACTGGTGTATCAGCCACAGCCTGCGATGGCGGTGCCTGAGGAAACTAACCAGAGCCGAGTACAGTGTAGGGAGAGGTGCGGGTTCGCTGCTCCCTCTCCTTTCTTTATAGAGGACTATGGTTTTTGAGATCAAGGAGAGAGGGAAGAAGAAAAAGAAATTGAGAGAGTAAATGAAAAGGGACTAATAAGTGTACGTATACTTTGTGTCAAGCTCAGCTGTTTCCTGAAGTGAAAATAAATTTGGATCCCTTTCCTACCCAATACTCATAACTATCTGACATCATCCACGCGCTGAATACTATAGTTTTATTAGCTATACTCTTCAAAATTTTGTGTTAATTAAGGTTATTCAACTTAGTTTTTAATAGGGGGGGACACTTTGTTCAGGGATTCAGATCCTCTCCACTACAAAAAAAATAGTGGAGGGTGTTGTGCGCAGCGGAATTTTCGGCAGAGTTTCTGGTGCACAATAAGTGAGAAAGATCGATAAGAATTCTTGTTTCTCAAAGGGAACAAGAATCTGAAGCCTAATATCCCATCAAAATGAGATATTTGCTCTTCCTCTCGTCAGCTCTAGGACTGCGCGTCGAGGGATCCTAAAAACTATTACAATGGCCACAAACTCAAACAAACTAATTTTACGTGGTTCGGCAAACTGCCTACGTCCACGGGGCAAGGAGGGGGAGATCTACTAATAGAGGGAAGAATACAAATAGGGTTTACAATCTCTCAAATCTAAACCCTCAAACAATCTCTCAATCTCTCACAAAAAATAAGCTATATATAGCTGCAAACTTCAAAATCGGGTGGGCCTTCAGAATATTACGTGGAGACGAACCGATGCACCAAAGGAGAACTGCACCAAAGGAGAGTATCACGTACGTGGTCCCCACAAGACTTTGAAACCGCGTGCATTGAAACCAAACCACCTGCTGACGTTCACAATTCTCCACGTCGGCGAAGTTTTCTCAAAACTGAGCCGACACCAAAGCAACCAAATATCCTAACTTGTTGTGTCCAGTACGAACTCAATCCATAACAAGTCAATAACCCGAACGAGAGTCCAAACAATCTCACCCCCATCAACTAATCCAAATCGGCTGCATCTGAAAGTCTGCCTACGTATCCTCTTGCCCAAGGAATCAAGCCGAACGTAGTTCACCCAAATGGCCGCGAACGACCTCAATCCAATAGAAGAGTTCGCAACCCTTCCCCAATATCATCAATTTTGCGGCTGATAGCACCTCCAATGACCTCAAACACCTCCACCTGAGGTGAACCAATGGTCATATCCAAACTGCATCTATCAGCTGCACTCGAGTCAAAACCCAACTCATCATCTGCATCCGAATCCAAATGACTTCCACGCTGTGTCACCTCAGCTGGAATCCCAACCAATGCAGAATGATCTGGAGTAATCTTCACCCAATGTGGAGTAGTATCACTCTCCACCCGCTGCGATACCTCTAAGGTCTGTCCAAAACTCTCCACCTGCTGAGAGTCAATTGGCTTCCTCATCGAAGCCTCAACCAAAGTGACACTACCAGACCTATCTTCCAATGGAGTTTTACCTCCAATCACAGCAGTTGACAACTCTTTAATAGGATGACCCAAATATGTCGAAGCCTCTGTCCAGAAACTCTTCTGCAGACCATTGCTTGACAACAAACACTGATCCTCCTCCAGTAAGGCACGGTTCTCCAAATTTGTCACCCTATTTAGTTGCCCCAAGATTTCCATTCCAACGAAGTGTCTCGAAATGCCGTGAGCTCGGTTCCAATACAGAAACAGGTCCATCTTGTACCTCCCACCAGAATGGAGTACCTTCACCTTTCTGCCAATATCACACTTCTTCAATCTGTTAGAGACTACTAGGACTTTCTCCAATGGGGATTTGGTTGCAACCCAAACACGCCTAGAACAGCCACCAACAAAGGAAACCAAACGCCTATTACCTCCCAATGATGCTCCCTTGGAAGGTCCCCAAACATCCACATGAACTCCTCCAGAACGACCCTTAACTCGGTGAATAGAGGTGCCACACTTCACCTCAGTCTTCTTGCTCACATCAACATGTTCACTGGACTTTAAATTGCAGGTCTTTACACCCTCTTTCAATCTATGCGAGGAATCAATACTGGAATGGCCAAGCCCCAAATGCCGCAGTCTAGTCGAATCAACAGAAGTCGTCAGCTCTCCACCTGCCACTATACCTCCAGTCAAGTAATACAGGTTATTCCTCCTGACGCCCTTCATCACAATCCGAGAGTCTTCCACAATCTTGAGAACCATGTCCTCAATTCGAACATTCAGACCCTCTCCAACCAAAGCTCCAATCGAGATCAAGTTCTTCCTCAAAGAAGGAACATATCTCACATCGTTTAACTCTCTAACAGTCCCGTCAAACATCTTTATGCGAATTCTTCCTATCTAAGGATCTGGCATGCACGGTTATCAGCCATGTACACCACACCACTATCCACCAGCTTCTCAAAACTGGAGAACCATTCCCTTCTAGGGCACACATGATAGGTCGCACCACTATCCAACATCCATTCAGATTCCTCCGAATAGCTATCTGTAGGACTGATAGAAAGCGAATAAATAGAAGAGTCAGAATTATTACCATCCGATACGATGTTTGCTTCTGATGATGGTTGCTTCCCTTTTCCCTTCTGCTTATTCTTCATCCATTCGTCGAGCTTTGGGCAGTCTTTCTTCCAATGACCAGTCTCCTTGCACCAAGCACACTGATCTTTTCCTACTCTAGACTGTGACTTCCAATTCTTTCGGTTTGGACCCTTCCCTCTTGCGACCAACGCCTCCGCTACCGGCTCAACCGAAGCCTCCTTATCCTTCTTTCGAAGCTGATAATTCACAAGTGCAGCGGTGACCTCACTATACGAAAGTGATGCCTTCCCATTAATCAGAGTAAGAACGAAGGTCTCATATTCCTCGTCGGGCAAGGAACTCAACAACAGCAACGCCTTGTCCTCATCTTCAATCTTGACATCCACATTCGCCAAATCCGCAAGAAGCTTTGTGTAGTGGTTCATGTGATCTCTAATGGAGGTTCCCTTCTTCAACTGGAAACGATAAAGTCTCCTCTTCAAATGCAAGCGGTTCTCAACACTCTTTGTCAGATACTTGCTTTCGAGAATCTCCCAAATCTTCTTCGCAGAAGTCTCATTCATCACATCATATTTTAGATCTTGAGTCAAACAAGACCTAATCACACCACACGCCGTTCGATTCATCTTCTTCCAAACCTTCTCTTTAATCTCATCTGGCTTGCCATCTAACTCCAAGGTATCCTCCAAATTCTGTGCGTTCAGCGCATCCAAAACCTCGCATCTCCATAATCCAAAGTTGTTTGTGCCATTAAATTTCTCCACATCTATCTTCATAGAATGGATATTCAGACTTTGAATGGTCTTCACGCCAGAAGAACCACCCTCGACTCCCGAAGCACCTTCTTTCCCCGACATCTTACGCACCAACGATCAAAGAATAGATCAAAAACTGAAAGATAGAGTCTTTACCAAAAGATCCCACCTTTATCACCAACAAAGTCCTAAACGGGCCTCCAAATTGATCTACTCCTCCAACCAAACCCTAGATCTGGAATCTGGGCTCTGATACCAGCTTGTTGTGCGCAGCGGAAATTTCGGCAGAGTTTCTGGTGCACAATAAGAGAGAAAGATCGATAAGAATTCTTGTTTCTCAAAGGGAATAAGAATCTGAAGCCTAATATCCCATCAAAGTGGGATATTTGCTCTTCCTCTCGTCAGCTCTAGGACTGCGCGTCAAGGGATCCTAAAAACTATTACAATGGCCACAAACTCAAACAAACTAATTTTACGTGGTTCGGCAAACTACCTACGTCCACGGGGCAAGGAGGGGGAGATCTACTAATAGAGGTAAAGAGAATACAAATAGGGTTTACAATCTCTCAATCTAAACCCTCACACAATCTCTCAAACCCCTCACACAATTATCTCTCTCAAAAAGGGGATAGCCACCTCTGTCTAGCACTGCTTTTGCACAGCCGCCAAGCCCACAAGTCCTCTGCACACGCTTGCACACGCCGCCCAACCTTGCTACTGCGCAGCCGCCAAAGAAAAAAGAAAAAGCCGAACTCCCCTCCTTCGCAACCTAAACTAGGTCACCGAATAAGCTATATATAGCTGCAAACTTCAAAATCGGGTGGGCCTTCAGAATATTACGTGGAGACGAACCGATGCACCAAAGGAGAACTGCACCAAAGGAGAGTATCACGTACGTGGTCCCCACAAGACTTTGAAACCGCGTGCATTGAAACCAAACCACCTGCTGACGTTCACAGAGGGACCACTACATAATCACAGCCATTGATTATCTAGTTGATGGTTATGATTTTTTTCTTTTAGTGCAAATTAGGAATGAGTGCAATACACGGGGTATGGTAAGTGTTAGATTTAGATTGTATCATAACCGCCTACTAAATAATCAACGCTTGAGATTAAAAGTAGTGGTCTCTCCACTACTTTTTTGTAGTGGAGAGGATCCAAATCCTTTGTTCAGACCATATAAATAAAATTATTTACTAATGGCCTGTTTATTTGCACGGAAGTAATTGTGAAGTAGCTGAAGTAAAAGAAGTAAAAGCTACTTCTGCTACTTCCAAGCAAAAGATTGTGTTTGGTTCTCTGAAAAACTTACTTGCAATACTTCCCTAAATGCTTATGTGGCGCCTACGTGTCATCCTTATTTTTAAAATATTTTTCCAATCCTCAATACTCAGAAGTAGCTCGGAAGTAGTTGAAATGCATATTAATTAGGACATAAATAATTTTTTTTATTAATATTTCCTTTATTAGTTACTTCTAACAACTTTTCAATGATAAAATTACTTCTTAGTAATATTTCCAAATGTTATCCAAACAAAAAAAGTAAATGAAGAGGAAGAAGTTTTACTTCTATTACTTCTAAAAATCTATAAAACAAACAAAAAAAATACTATTTCCACTACTTCCTACTTCATAGCTTTGAAAATTACTTCTATAACCTACTTCTTACTTCTAATACTTCCATTATCCAAACGGACCCTAAGCTAGCATTTGTATGATATATCTACTTATTTATTTT